CTATGAACTGGACAATAATAATCCCAATTTTGTTTATGCACCACTCTTAACTAAAGAACACGTTGACCCCAATACCAAGCAAAAAATGAGGGTAAAACTTGCCGCACAAGTTTTAAGCCACTCAGTTGCAGCAGGAATATTTTCCAAAATAGCTAAAGGTAAGAGACATCTTTAATAGTCATGGTCCAACTCATTTATACACACACATCATAATTATTATGCATGATACTTATGCACATTTAGCAACAAGTCTTACAAATTCGTTTCAACAGTATGAAAATGTGGGGTTGTCTCTTTTATAAATGGTGAAACTATCTAATAATTATATTGTCATATTATACTGTACTTATATTGATTTAATTTGTTTATTGTGAATTTTCAGGAGACATGCCGACTGGAGCAGTGGCAACGGGTAATTTAATTAAAGACATGGATGAACTGTTTGATGGAGTAAACGCGTCGACATCAGATTTAAGAAGAGGAAAAAAATTTTCCACAAATATAAAAAAATCCACAGAACATCTGCAAATGTTCAATAAAATGAAATATTTTTTTAAAACCTCTGAATTTTTGGGATGCAGGGGTAATCCACCATCAAAAAATGGGTGGATCTGGACCCTCAATGGGATAGAAACGATTTGGAGAACCCTTAGTACCAAATATAAATCCATCAAAAGTCTGTCTACAAGAAGACTCCAGCAAGACCCGTTGGAAAATTTATTTGGTTGCATACGCTACAATTGCGGGTCCAATAGCAACCCGACAGTTGGACAATTTGTTGCTGGCTTAAAAACTGCTGTAATGAGCAACATGGCACACACTAGCTCAGGGAATTGTGAGCTGGATAGCAACAGTGCTATTATATCAAATTTTAAAAAATTGCTGACATCATCTGCAGACATATGTACTGATACATCCGAACATGTAAACGAAATAGTAAAAGAAATTGAAGAAAGTATAACTTCCTCTCTCGAAGAAAACTTGGAGGAAGGAAGTAGCGAACTACAAGCATGTGCATATGTCTGTGGCTTCATTATTAAAAAAATAAAAAATAATTGTAATAAGTGTATGAAAATTCTAGTCTCCGAAACGCCAGAGGGAGTGCATAATTTTATAGAGTTCAAAAATTATGAAAATCCAAAACAATCGCTTACATACGCCTCAAAGAATTTAATAGCTTGTGTAGAGAAAAGTGCAAGCATCATAAATATATTTTTAGAAAGAGAGGCGTATAAAGAGAATATTAAAGTGAAAATAACACAAACATTAAAGGACTCTATAAATTATGATTTTCTCGAAGATTGCGTGGAGCACAAAGAATTAAATATAACGTACATAATCAATAGTGTCTTCCACATTACAATTAAGAGGTACTGTATCCTAAAAAACAGAATGTTTTCTGAAGAGGCGAGTAAATCAGCATTAAAAAGAAAAATGCACATAATTATGCATAAATAAATGTACAACTAGCACTGCCCATGAATTCATCAGCCTGAATTTTAGACTTTTTCATTTTGAATGATGAAAGAATTTTTTTTTTTTGATGAATTTTATTATATTCTATGATGATCATGCTTATGTTAAATGAGCTAAGGTTTTAATAATCTACCTAAAAAAAATTTCAGGTTTTAAATTGTTGCTTTAATGCTGGCCTTAATATATGCGCTTCAGTTTGTGACTTGGATGGAGTCAACAAGAAAGCTCTGTGTCTATTAGGAGCTTCTGTAGAGAATCCCTATATAGAAGTGAGAACATCAGACAACAAACAAGGAATTGGTAAGTCATTGTTATTTAGTTTAAAAAAAGTGTTTAATAATATGTATGTAGTTTATACTTAATAATTTTACTTTTAATAATTACTTTACAGGAATCGCTAAATGGAGCCACATCAGACAATTCTATGAACTGGACAATAATAATCCCAATTTTGTTTATGCACCACTCTTAACTAAAGAACACGTTGACCCCAATACCAAGCAAAAAATGAGGGTAAAACTTGCAGCACAAGTTTTAAGCCACTCAGTTGCAGCAGGAATATTTTCCAAAATAGCTAAAGGTAAGAGACATCTTTAATAGTCATGGTCCAACTCATTTATACACACACATCATAATTATTATGCATGATACTTATGCACATTTAACAACAAGTCTTACAAATTCGTTTCAACAGTATGAAAATGTGGGGTTGTCTCTTTTATAAATGGTGAAACTATCTAATAATTATATTGTCATATTATATTGTACTTATATTGATTTAATTTGTTTATTGTGAATTTTCAGGAGACATGCCGACTGGAGCAGTGGCAACGGGTAATTTAATTAAAGACATGGATGAACTGTTGGATGGAGTAAACGCGTCGACATCAGATTTAAGAAGAGGAAAAAAAAATCCACAGAACAGAACATTTTTTACATTTTTTTATATTTGTGGAAAAATGATAATCAGGAGATAGTACTATTTGCGGATGACACTTCACTGTTATTTAAACTTAAACGACAGCAATCAGTAACTGATGTCGTGATTAGCACTCTCTCTAAGGTTGTAAACTGGTTTAATGTTAATAATTTACTTTTAAACGAGAATAAAACGAAATGTATTAGATTTTTTACACCTAATGTTAAACAGGTAAAGACCAATGTTCTAATAAATGGAAAGGAGTTGAATCTTGTGGACACCACCAAGTTTTTAGGTATAACACTAGACTCTAAATTGCAATGGGGCCCACACATTGACGGATTGTCGAATAGACTCAGCTCTGCAGCATACGCGGTTTACAAAATTCGTCAATTAACCGATGTAGAAACAGCTAGACTGGTGTATTTTAGCTATTTTCATAGTGTAATGTCATACGGTATTTTGTTGTGGGGAAATGCTGCTGACATTCAAAGTATCTTTGTGTTGCAAAAGAGAGCTATTCGTGCAATTTATAATCTTAGTTATAGGCAGTCACTGAGGGATAAGTTTAAAGAAATTGGTATCATGACAGTCGCATCTCAATATATATATGAAAATTTAGTGTATGTAAAGAAAAATAATCATTTATTCACAAAGTTTAGCGACATGCATAAAATAAACACTAGAAATAAAGATAAACTCGTGTTACCAACCACTAGACTACAAAAAGTAAGCAAGTCTTTTCATTGTCAGGGTGTGCGATTTTACAATAAAGTGCCAAGCAAATTCCATGAATTAAGTATTAATAAATTTAAGTCTTTAGTAAAGCTAAAACTATGTGAAAAGGCTTACTACACTATTACAGATTATTTAGCCGACAAATTTGCTTGGGATTGATGCTGCTCACTCCCACATTTACGTAGACATCTTTGTTGTTAAGTTTGAAAGTGATGGACATTTAATTATTAATTTTTGGTGTATTTCGTATTTTGTTTTCGTATTTTATTTTTCGTTGACTTTGAACTGTATAGTATTTTTTTATTTTTTGTGTAAGTATGTAAATGTGAGTACAGTGTAGGCTTGTAATGTTAATTAATTTTTTATTATCTTTCTGGTGGTTTTGAGTGTTTCCACGGCCTACCCAAATGTCCTGCTGGCGGTAGTGTCATGCTTCGGGTCGTTGATCTTGACCAATATCGGTTAGGCTACACGATGGCTGGAGCCTGTATGCCGTCTGTATGGACAGGTTGACTCAAAACTATGATCCTTTCCTCAAAAGGCCTATCCAGACCCTATACTGTACTCGCACAGTTTTAATTAACTTTGTTTACGGACTTAAAAAAAAAAGACACCTCTGTGGTTTGTTTCGGTGTTTCTTCCCAGAGTGAGTCTTAGGAAATGCCGGCTCCTTCTAGCTATAAAGTCCGACTTGTAAAAATATCTGAAAAGATTTACTTACAGAAATAAATATCATTTCATCATTTCATTTCATTATAGGCTGATTATGCTTTATTTATTATTTTACAACTTGTTTTATTAATGGACGACAGTGTAGCTAAATTGGTCAGATCTGTCTACCTTCAACAAAAATAATAAGTATCTCTCTTGTTAACCATTTCTTTATTTATTTTATTAAACTGAAATAATACATATTATATAATATTATGATATATGTCTGTAAAGTGTAAACTTGTGTTTGACCTTGTCTAGGTTTTTGATGTTAAAATTGTATGCAATAGACCATATGGTCGAAGATGCTTGCTGTATTTTCAAATTGTATGTAGTATCTCATTTTTAGAATATTATGTTTAATTTGTGTTTAGATTAAGCGATAAATTTTGTGATTAATTATCATTACATACACGCCACGTCAGAGGCCTGTGGGATTCCCAGAGGCGACTTAATAAGCTCTGACACTAGAGGGTGGCCACAACACACGCAAAAAAATTACATACACATACTTGTGAACACCTTTTGTCCCAAATGAATATATAATCCAAAAACACATTTATTCATGTAAAATTAGTATATAGTTGCTTATAATATGAATATCTGATAAATTATAATGAATATTATGCTAAATAAAAAAGTCAAATACTAATGTTTCTTTTATTACACTGTTCCATAAATATTGCTTTCAGCATTTTATGCACAAGTACAGTGTGTTTCTCGATAGTGATGTCGTTTAGATGTCAATTGTTTTTGCTGAGAAATAATTGACCATCTTGATGAACACTATCGAGAAACGCACTGTACTTGTGCATAAAATGCAATACAAAGTATCTGTTTTGAATTTCCCGCCCTAGCTTCTACTGTCTAGTTTTGGTGGGCGGAGCATAGATGGCGCCGGCCGGTAAGGAAAAATTTCCTCATAAAAATAGTATGGAGTCGTTATTCTTCCCCTTTAGGGGTATATATGTTCTGTGATGAGTATACAATAAACCTACCAACTTGAAACTACCTTCTGTCAAAGAAATGTCTAAATAAAGAAAAACTGGTAATGTTGATGTGTTACAAAAATATTACAAAATGCCAATATTTCTTACATGATGAAATAATTCAGTAACTATATACCTCTGTAAAAACATTATCTTCATTTATCAAAATGGGGCACCTCGAAACTCAGTCTGGTTCAAAAATGACAAAGAAGCCTAGTTCCATGAGCAAAAAATCTTCAAAAACTGGGAAGCATCGTTCGGACATCACATTAGGAGACCCTTCAGTGCAATTAGGCTTATTCATTGCACTGCTAGCAGTGCTTATGGTTGCATTGTATTATAGCTTCAAATGTTGTAATCGTCGTACTAGAAGACGTTGCTGGTAAGAAGGCACAAACAATATTACACTTGAATTTAGGATGAAATTAGCTCAATTTAATTTATTTATAATAACTATCCTACTAGATTAACTTTGTATACTTACTAATCACTAGCTTGTTTGTTTTATCAAGACAAACATTTTTACATAAATGCCTACTGTTTGTTAGCTACAATAATAAAGTATATTACTTACGTGTAATTTAACTAGTTTGCGTTTCGATTGCTCCGTCACGTTATCGAAACAGAAAAAAAGTGTGTGTGTGTGCATTTCACACACGGCACAAGTGAAACTTTCGAAATATATATTTTTTTCTTTTTTTATCTCAGGAAAACTATTAAATTTTGCCCAGCCCGGGAACCGAACCCATTAATGCAGCGTTTTTCAAATTAAACGCGAACGAATTCACGGGTACCAGCTAGTATTAAATAAAAAGCTAAAAATATTCACACGCAAAATATTATTTTAAAAATAATGTATTCTATCTCATTCTCTCGCCGACTTAATCCTATACATTTGTGTTTGTTTCTTTATCGTGACGCGTTTTCGTTTCATCGACTTTCAAATCACAACAATCTTTCTGAAGAAGTCTCACTTTAACTAATAAGCGCAGTTTAAAAAGTTGTCCTTGACTGTAATCTCTTATTTTCAGTAACTAGAACAATTAATACAAGGGGGAGAAATCATCCTGTGGAAGCAGCCATTCCAATAGAACTAGAATCCAGAAAACAAAGGTACTTATTTGCGTATACAGAATGAATAAATGTCACAACCACTAACTGCTTTGTTTTGGAATCCAAGTTGAAAAAAAACGTTATCTTTCTACTAAGAAGGTTTACAACACAATTCTTCCTAAACGTAGTCCCCATTTATTCGATGTCATAAACCATTAGTTTCAAGTCTGTGGTCACAATAAATGTTTTATAATTTCTTTAAATGTATATTGCCATGCACATTTATTATTATTATTACTACAATTGCAAATGTATGTGCATCACACACCACAAAACCCTTATCTCTAAATTACAATAAGCAAGCGACCTTTTTGTAGTTTGAGTAACTTGAGTAAATAGTTTAAGCTAACTGATGGCCCATTACTGTTTTGTTATTACTGATCTTTGACATTGTTATTACAAGCTTTTATTTAACTTGCAATGTATGTAACTATGTTTGTTCGGGTGGAATCTTGCAACTCAATTTTGAAGCAGATATTTTCAACCGATTGAGCTGACATTTTGTGTACCCGTTTAATTTAGATGACAATGCAAGGTTAGCTGTATAACATCATTATAAATCACACTTTGTTTTAGGCCTCGCTATTCGAGAACCGTTCGGCTCGATCAGCTATCAATTCTTTCACAGCCACTTCAGTTTAGCAATTCTCCAGTCAATGTTGGGGACCCTAGTTCATCTGCGGATCTCCTTATTCCTCATTCGATCACTCAGAGAAACTCTGAGCATTGCCCTCTCCATTATATTATTTTATTATGAGGCCCATTGTGAGCGACCACGTCTGTGTCATAAGTCATCATTGGCAACACACTCTGGTCGAATACTTTTGTCTTGAGATGTTTCCGGAACGCTATCCAGTCAAGTTGGATTCGACGATTCACCTCTTTTTCAAAGTTGGACCTAACTGGATGGTTTGTCAAAGGTACACGTAGTCGTCAACAACTTCGAGCGTAGTCTCTAACTTTAACTGGAATGGGTGCGACGTTAGCGTTCGACATAATTTTAGCCTTCTACGTCTTCATTTTAAGACCCACTCGTATAGAGACTACTAAGGCCATCGAGCATTGTGCTAAGGTCTGGGTGATATCCTCAAGATTGATGATGATGCCAAGTGCATTTTAATCCAGAAGTTTGAAGACGTCTTCCAGTGCCGCGTTGAACATTTTGGAGATATCACATCTCTCTGACTTATTTCTCGCTGTAGTTGAATAGATTTGAAGCTCTGACGGTACTTCTGGCATCTTACAACTCAAAACTGTTTGGTTCTACCAAATGCAATGTCACATAGAAAATGTACGAGTGAACAAAAAAGACAATTTGGCCCTCCCGTACTAAGTTAACTTTAGCCATAAGCATAACTAAATCCAAGTTATAATTGTGATTTTCAAATAAAATATTGGTAATACTTATTAAATGTTTATTCTTGTTACAATACAAATCGAATACAATTATTTCTTTATGCAAATTAAAATAATTCCAGAAAAGCAGTTGCGGCGACTGGAAAGTGTTGAGAAACGAAGAAGCGTGATTTTGAGTCTTACCGTCCCAACTATGTTCACCAAACGTCTGAAAGTAAATTTTTAAAAGTTTAGTAATTTATAATAAACTGTTGAATTATACATCCTTTTTTATTATGATGATGGTACTTTTGCCACAACGTCACGTAAACCAACCGATCCACTCATACACACTAAATGACGAAAATGAAATGTCAGCTAGAGCTAAAGCCCATTTAATTTTCTAGTTAAATGAATTAAATGAATGACCAAAAAAAGTGAGTGATATTTTTATAAGTTATTTGTTTAACTGGAATGGAATACAGTTTAAACTTTATTCCATTCCAATCATATGAAAAGTGATTCCACGTCGACAATATAGTTACCTTATTCTTCTTTTTGTTTCTCTTCTTCCTCCCATGCGCCGCTACCGTTGCCCCAGTCGTATTTGTCGTTTACTTCATCACCTTGTTCCTTGACTGTGGTCTCAGCAACTTGAAAATTTCATTTGTTTTTACATTACTATATTTGTTCAGACAAGCTCATATAGACAATGTGTGTAATGTATAATATTAACCCTACCAATAACCACACATAACCGAGTATTGATTTTTCGATCACCTTATGACTGGTAGGTGTTCCGATGTTTGCCAACCACGAGTCTCACAGTTTAATCAAGCACGTGTGCACTTGAGACTGATCGTTCGGCCAGGCACACACTAACGTACTGTGTGTGTACACAAATAGTATAAGTAAACGTTTACGCGCGCTCGTAAATTGCTGGTCGAGCTAAAGCGGCCCATTGCAGTGGCATGGCTCTACGACTAACATCTATTTGCCTTATTTACATATCTACATATTAAACACATCATGGCTACATACTTATTTAAACAATTCGACAACATACCAACTTCTTCCTTCTCTGCTTTTTCCGCATGATTGTCCTCTTTATCTAAAACATTGAAAAATTGTGTTTTGACAAATTTTAAAAATTAATTTAACTCATTATAACATCAACTTTTAGATGTTTGCATGCAAAATTTTAGTCTTACCTTCATTTTCACTATCACACTTCATCATTGATAGAATGTGATTCTTTTCCCTAGCCAAATGCTTTTTGCCATTCAAATGCATAGTCATCTGCTCGGTACACGTTACTGAAGTCTGAAACAAATATTTATTCATGAACTACCAACATACCAAGCTTTTTTTAAAGGATATCTTTTATGGGGGTTAAAACTAAAGATGAAAGGGATATCTGTTTGGAAGGATACAGGGTATCCGACCAAACGAAATGCCACAGACATATTGGAAAATATGTACAATTATTATTATTTATTTTTAATTTTCCTATTTATGCCATCATTTTTCAGTCTTTCTATATTATTGTATGCCCTAGAATATTACAAAGGTTTTAAATTGTATAACACACTTTTTATGCATAATGTTACTCATACAATAAGATAAATAATCTGCTTGTTTTTCATAATAAAACCAAATATTACCTTACTCTCTCATGATTGAGAAAACAGAGGCTATTCTACCTCAGATATGACACACACACACACACACACACACACACACACACACACACACACACACACACAAAACAATTTGTTTTTATTACATTTATATAAATTCACATGCATGCTTTTTTTAAAATAATAAGTAAGACAACATAAACTGTGTAAATTTAATTAAAAACTTGTACAGGACAAATCGTAATTAAACTATGTGTATCTGTATAAAAACTCAGTGTTAATAGAACCTATGGCTGGTACCTATATCTCAGGATTTAGCTTTTTAGGTACCAGCCGCATTTTATAAGTAATTGTTATAGCTAAAAATATTGTCCTTTTTATTTCTATATTCTGTATAATTTACCTTGATAAAATCAATAAATACTTTAGACTAATCAGTCTTAACAGCCTCTACATTTGTTAAGACTATAGACCAAACGTCATAAACTAGACGTTAGGACGAAATAAACCAGACGGTTAATTTAAAGTTGAGAAAGTGACCGCTTCGCACATTTTCGCACGATTTTTTTAAGAAATGCCGTAATTTATATTCTCAAGTAATGATCAGTGTGAACTATTCAACAAACGGTGGCTGCCCCCTTGCAGATTTACGAAAGATATAACCTACCGCACATATATTACAGTATAATTCTGATTGAATTTTCGCCCGTGTCAGCTCTTCTTCACTTTTTTCTATTTCATATGAGGTTTTAATGAATTTTCTTTCACGGCGAATAAGTTGGGCCCTAAAAAACAAAACGATAATTTAAAATTTCGTATGTATCACGATTTTCGATATGGTAAAGCATTGTGGATGATGAGATGAGGATGATGATCTATAATTTTTTAGCATTTAACATTTTTTAGCGCAATTTGTGAAAAACAGTGTTTATTAAGTTATCACTGATCTAAGTCTTATTTTGCTGCTATTTGATTAAGGTTCAGCAACAGTTGTTACAGATATTATACTGTATACATATTTTTAGTTTTATTTAGTTTTACACATTTTTTTTTCATAGTAGGCCAAAACCTCCTTTCTAAGGAGAGGCTTATGTCCAGCAGTGACTGTTAAAGGCTGATGATGATGATGATGATACATATTTTTATATGTATAATATGGTCTTATGGTCTTCCTTCCAGTTCCTAATTGCTTTTTATTCTATCTGAAGCCGTTCTATAAATACATGTGTAGTTAGCTCTCAACAATATCAAGATGTCCGTGTAATGACGGATTACGAATACGGAATGTCACTACCCCAATTCATCCCGTGGGTGTCGTAAGAGCCGACTAAGGGCGCAAAACAACGCAGGACACCAGCACTGCAAAAAGAAGGAAAACTTGACACAAACCCGACACCAACCCGACTGGCCAGCGTATTATAGTAGGCCAAAACGTCGTTTCTAAGGAGAGGCCTATGTCCAGCAGTGGACTAGTAAAGGCTGTTGATGTGATGATGTGATGAATATCAAAATTATAGATTAGAATCACATAACTTAATGATTACTTACACACGTCCCGCCATGCTTTTGGAAAGAAGAGAACTGTTCTTTGGCTTTTTGTGCCCTTCAACAATCCTATAACAACGGAAAAAAATAATTAAACTTCAAAGCAATCAAGTTTGCATAATTTGTCATTTTTACTTACGCTCGATGGAGTTTTCCATCGTAATGGGAATCCGCGTGAACTTTAGAGGTGATTTGCACATCACATAATTCGCAGTACAAATCGCGAGATTTCAGCGGGGCCTGAAAAACAAATCAGTGGAATATGTAATAACAATAATAATAAAATTACTTGATAATAATAGGCCAATTAAGCTATTTTCTTGTCTTAATGGTCATTACAAAGACAGAAAGGAAAAACTTTGACTTTGCCTATAAAGACACATATTGTAGTATGGTCTTATAAATTAAGGAACATTGGAGTTTGTTTGACTCTATTGTTGTTACGAGTACCTGCAGACGACAACTTATTATCATTAGAACATTGTGCTTGCTTGTCATCAACTCATTAATTGGAAACTTAAATATAAAAGTCTTGGTAGAAAAAAGATACATTTTTCTTAAATATTAAAATATGCAGAAGACACTAACAATGTTTATCTACAAATTGAATATATTACATATGAAAGCAGTTCTAAACAAATACTTTAAAACCATAGATCTATTTTCGTTACGATACTACAGTAAACATATTTCAGTATTATCGTCATCTTATATGCACCGATAAACTTTAAGCAAGGGCGCTAGGTCATTTTATTATGATCAATCAGTTAATAGAGGGTTTAAAATCAGTTATGAATATTTACATGAGTAACATGACAAAAGAATGCCAAGTACATTCTTTTGACGTGATCAACCACTTTTCATTCAGTTTTCAAACTAAGTTAGTATTTTTGAGAATGATTGACTCAAAAAACTTGTCTACCCTAGACATTTTTTTACGAATAACTGAGATTTCGCTTTTTGGAGTCATCGCTAACATTCTAGTACCTTATTTCTAAATGTCGATGGTTATTTTTCTACGACGGTTGGCGTACCTCAAAAACTCTTATCTCGCTCCTTATCCAAAACAGATTTAAAAGCGCAAGCAAGTTCACATTTTACTGCTAATTTAGTTTTTTGTCTTTTTTCAATTCCAAATTGGTAAAGATACAAGGGCAAATGTGAACCCCACGTTATAACAACGTGCAGGCAGGCAATTTGTTCCAATCTATGTTTCTATTCTGACAACAACGTTCACATAACCTCCACTTGGTATTTACTTTCGACATCTCCGTATGCCTAACTATAGATGTCGAGAGCAGCACAAGTGAATATCCTAATCAACTTTTACTGTAAATATTTAATAGTAATTGATATTCAACAAACATTCTAAATTTGTTGAATATCTGTTGGTATACTTTTTGTTGCGGATTTAATTTTCAGAAACCCAAGAAAGCGCTTTACCAAACTACCAATGGCAGGGAGGCCTTCTATGTTTTGTACTTCTGATATTCATGTTTTTGAAACCGCTATTAAGCTTTTCTTAGTCACTAAGTCCTTGTACTTATGAATTATGTGAACCATTGTTAGAATACCTAATGAAACATACATTGTCAAATTGTCCTGTTACCTCATTGTTAGGATGTTGGTACATCATATTTCTGTGTTCAGCCATCCATTTATTTTGTTTCTTGAAATGGCCCTTGGATGCATAATGGGCTCGAGCTGTAAAACAAATTTAAAGCAAAATTGAAATTTTAAATACCTCAGATGATAGCTTGTTCCACAGATTGGTTGTGCAAGGCAAAAAGTAAAACGTATTTTAAAAGTAAACGCACAGTGCTGGAGTGCCAATTATCCAAGTGGTGGGGATGAAAATTATTGTTATAATAGCGAGTATTAGTCAGAACAATTCCTCAGGGGCCCCATGATATATACGATAGAGAATGCAGAGTGAAGCTACATCGAGCCAATCGGAGATCTATTATCTATTGACGATCGAGTCGCTCTTCGTTGGATGCGGTCCAGAGGGAGAAGCTGGTACTGGGGTGCCTCTGCATAGAGATGAGTACAGTATTTCATACGCGGCTGGACTTGCACCTTAAAGAGTTGGAGGCGGTGGGCCGGATTGAAATACTGCCTCGATCTGTCAAGCACACCGAGCTTCTTCGAGGTTAATTTGACCTTACACTCTAAGTGACCCCGAAACTGGACTTCACTCGATATGTCGATGCCAAGGATTCGATACTGGCTAAGGCAGTTCGGGAGGTACTCTCAAACCGAGTTGATACGACAAACGCTATATTTTTTGCCGGTGACCGCGTTAAACCTGTAACTTGTTGACTGATGTGTAATTTCGTAATATTAAAGAAGAACAATAGATACCAATATACCGCCCTAATTTTATAAAATCATTTTTTATTCTTTAAACTATTAATTTATTAATATTAATTTAACGTACATCGTTGATAAGTAAAATCATTTGAACATAAAACTTGTCTCCATAGTGAGTGATAATGATAAATAAATACTAGGAACGAAGCACAAGCCTATGGGTCAAATATGTTATTACCATCCAACCACCAGCGGGATATTTATCGTCCGTATCTACTCCCTAGATTCTAGAGTAAAGCCACTGTACTAAAGCGCTATTAATAGTGATAGTTATGAAAGATTTAATGACTCATATGTTGACCTTACTAGGGCCGTATTTTAGGAGCTTAATTTAGGTATTTAAAATTGGTTTCAGAGTTTGAACTTTAGAACCGTACTTGTTTATTACTAAGTATTTGCGCGTAATCTTTGGAACTACTATACAAATTATTTCACCATTTGAAAGTTACACTATTCCATGAATGGAGGTTGGCTATTTAGTGTGTTCATTGTGCAAATTACCTACAGTTATGACCAGGGGCGGCCTGGGGGCTGGCGAGCATGGCAACCGCCCATGGCCTTGCATATGCAGGGGCCCCGCGCACTCACCCAACAACCCAATTGGTAATATAATTGTTTGGAATTAGCGCCCTATGCTTCACAACATAAAACTAACGTCACGCTACTCGCGCTCGACTTAGGTACGTCCGTCCGGAGTTCCTCTGTCTTTCATTCCACCGATTATTTTGACAGGCTTCGAGTGTCAACTGTCGTCGGCTTATGCTTTTATGTTCAAGCAGCAGTATGTGATCTACCCGCCTGGGGCCTCGCAATGATCTACCTGCCCGGGGCCTCGCAACGGCTAAAGGCGCCTTTGGTTGTAAAAATATTTGTCTACACGGCCTGCAAAAGTCGTGCCTTTTGTCAAAGTGTACGCTGTGTGAATGCTAAAATTTTTACAAAAATAATGTTGTTCCTCTTAAAAAGTTCTATAAAAAGCTCTGGAGAACATATATTTCTGTATCTCTTATGAATATTTTTCTTACTATACAAATTGCTACTTTCCCTTGATGCCTTAAATTCTGTGTAATAGAACCAGATTGCAAATTTAAGCGTTAAAAATAAGACTAGCGCCAGCACATATCCTCCACATTCGCTTGATCCCTACAGATATGCCGTTTTAAATATTAAGAAGTGACAGCTTCCCATATAAATGAATTATTATATTTATTTCAGCTATCCCAATTGAAGAATTATAGGGTCAAACTTTTAAATATATTACTATTAATTTAAGTAAATTACCCATGGACAGGTTGTACGTTGGCCTGTCTACGTCAGGAGATGCCGAAAGTCAATATTAATTCACTTTTGTGAAAGAGGAAATACATCATTCATTCATTCCTTTTTCTATGCCCCTTTTCGAGGGCCTAAGTAAAATATATTTCAGGTCATACAGATTACCTGGATGGGATCGAACACGATGAAAAAAATTAAGAGTTATACGGCAAGCGTTCAAAGTTGTGGCTTTTTGTATTATTTAAAATGACAGTGGGGGTGGCACTTGATATTCCGTAGATGGCCCGGGGTCCGTCGGGGTACCAGGGATTTCCTTCCTAGGGTACATCTGGTTCGCCGACGACTGGTACCCGAGACGGAGTGCGATTTTTGGTCGGTTCGAGTCTGACATAACCAGCGGTGGGTCGTATCCAAGGGGGTTTACGCACAGAAAAAAAAGGTCCTAAATATTGCTTATTTTAATATTTAATTTTGCACGAACAACAAGCTTATTAATATGTTAACATTGCAACACTAGCCGATAGTATACTATATACGGATTCACAGAACTTATGTTAATAAAAGAAAATTATTTTTTAAACAATTAGCTGAGTAATACGGAATAATAATGTCAATCATGCGGAAACATAATTGAGAACAGACTGTAAGTTTAAATCAATACTGTAAACTAGTTTTAACTGAGTAAAACTTAAAGCTTTCTATAATAAGATCGATACTTAGGTTTTGATCTGCACTTAAAACTAGTTTCAGGCAATCAGAGTTCAACCTACACTTGAGACGTCCTTTAAAATACGGGCCTAAGTGTACGTCTATACAATATTCCAAATGAAATGCTGGTCTTCGACAAAATATTTGAAATAGCAGCTGTAGTAGAGTTTCTTGCAAATACGTTCGGAGGTTTGAGTCATTATAAGACTCACTATACAAAAACTAACTCATCGTAACTCTGAATAGGAGTGTTACGACGGTCATGCTTTTCGAGTTAAGAATGACATTGTGCTGAATACCCATCTACTACTTTTCAAAGGCTGGTGAGCTTAATTTACTTCATATACACGGTTCAAGTAGGTCGTTTTTAATCGTTATTAGATGTTGTGGCGACTCCTACATGCAAAGAAACATAACCGTACTAAAGCGCCATCTAACAAATATACAAAAAAGTAGCTTTTATGTGTCCTGAGTATGTGTTGTGGCTCTGCTAGGTAGTATGAGAGTATCATTTTAAAATATAATTGATTGGTATGTTCTTGAATGGCTCTGTGACAGAACACGACACAAAAATTGCCCTGTCAAAAGCAGGTATCAAAGATAAAATATGCATTCAGAATAAAAAAAAAATACTTACATGAATGGAAAGACTCAAGTACTGCACTACAGACACCACAGAATTCAGGAGTTATAAGACGCAAAAAGTCCTTTGGTAGATTATTCAATCGTTCCTTAGGAACACCACAACCTATCAGGACAAAAAGACAATTTTAGAATTAGAAGCTTGACAACCAGTTTATATTTATAGTGAAAGCTTGATTATCCAGTCCTCAGTTACAGTTATCCGAACTACTAACCACAATCAAATAACTTTATATCATATCTTCAAGTTAAATCCATGTCAATCCTGACATATTTGTACATGAAACTTGTCAGAAGTTTTGGTAATAAGTTAAATTTGTTTTTGTGGTTTTTAATAAGTACATATGTACAAAACTGCTTTTCTTCATACATATAATGTGTGATTTGGTCTGGTATCATATGTATATATTGACAAAAAGTACATAAAGTATATATGTATTAATATGAGTTGTCTAGTACAAGTTCTGCTTAGTTTGGGACTAGATGGCATTGCATGAATGTGGTAGAATATTATTATATTTTTTTAATATCCTGTTTTTAGATTATCCTAATGACATGTGACAACAACAATTAGTCCAGTTATTCAATTCTCTTGTATTTAAGAAGTAGTAGGAATAAATCAGGAGTATAATAATAATAATAATAATATTTTATTCTCTTTTCACAAATGGATACCTTAACAAAATAATATAGTACTAGGCTAGCTTCTTAAATCCACATTTGTGAAAGACTAGTGCCTGGTGTAGGTTAAAAAAAGAAACCTGTGTTACAGGTCACCAGGCCCTCCGCGTGGATATAGGAGACAGTCAATACACCGTGTGAGAAAGTTAACAATTAAACAAACTAAAACGATTACAATACCAAAGAGAAAACAAAGAGGACAAACATTATTTACTTACAAAAAATAATTAAAATGAAAATAGAAATGTGTGTGTGTTCGTGTGTGTGTGTTCGTGTGTGTGTGTGTGTGTGTTCGTGTGTGTGTATGTATGGGTGTGTGTACTTCTGAGTGAATCGGAGTAGGCTCTGGTTACCTCACTCAGTTCATGAAAAGCAATGAAAAAATTGCCTGAGAGCAGTTTTCTGTGCAGATATGGCAATGGTCGAATAAACCTGGCTCCCCACTCTCCAACTATAACTTTTTTAATTTTTAAACATCTGGATGTGACTTCATAGTTCACATTACTTATGTCCTACTCTCTCTAGCTAACAGCATCTTTCAAGTTATTTTCCAAAAAGAAACATACTTACGTATAAGGTATGCAATAGGCTTGCTATTTTTTTTAGGATGCTGTATAGGAGGCCCCGTTGGCCCAAACCCTCGCCCCCAAGCATACATATTAGGTAGACTACCGAGAAAATCTAGTGGTGGCCCCCAGTTATTGGGTCCTGGATTGAAAGGTCCCCATTGGCTCTGTGGTGGTCCACCACCTCGTCCATTTTGCCACCCAAACCTATGAAAAAAGTTTGATTCTTAATACAGCTTATTTCCAATAAAAGTTCAGGCTATGTGATGGCTACACTGACTGACCTGTTATCAAAATAATTATCATCCATCTCTTCATAATAACCTTGTTCACGGTAACCCTGATCTAAATTTGAATTCCAACCACCAAAATTGTTAAAGTTGCCTCTTCTATTTCTCCAATTATTATTAGGATTCATTTTTCTATTAATACCTGAAAAAAGAATTCTCTATATCACTACCTAACATAGAAAACTTGCTTTTTAGCAAATATTTCAAAAACTCTCTAAAGTTACAATTACTCCTTAATTAATTAGGAATTTTTTCTATGCGTAGATGAATATGAATGACAATAATAATAAACTTTACTTAGTAACTTCTTGGGATCTGTTTAATTTATCGGGCAACAGTTGATTCAGCAATTTTTTTGTACCAATTGCAATTGCAATAAATATATGTTATTTATTTATGGAGATTGTGGTTACAGTATACAATACCAAAAGCAATGAGTTACACTCTGCAATAAATAATAAGGTCACGCTTCAATAGATATTTCTGTTAAACTGTGTATTACAATCTCTGAGTAATGAACGACGCGTCACCCGGTCAAGTTATGACATTACATTGATAAATTCACTTCACAGACAGATACGGTGCAGATACGCATTGATTACAATACAAGAAGTGGTGTAGCAACTCGACTTGTCAAAACCGGTTTAAACCGGTTTGAACATGAAACGACTTGAATCGGTTTGCCCGTTATTTAAACCGGTTGAACCGTATCATAAGATCGAGTTGCATTCTTATCCGATGATGAACTTAGCCGACGCGACGCGACACTAAATCTTTATCAATTTACTTACAAGCACAAACTATATTATTATGTTCCTACAAAATCAGATACCGTAAGCGAACGTCGTTTTACAATAATTTAACACATAAACCGATTTACTAATCGTTCGGACATTAATTTTTCTCATATCCACCAAATCAGAAAAAAAAGAAAGCATGGTAATCGTGTTACTTGACTGGGTAGTTTGTTGTATTGCCCTTAGCTCTCAACAAACTACCCGTAGGTAATGTCAAGTATTACTCTTGTATGTAAACTCGGTTGCAAACTGTTTGCGTAAAACGAAGATTTAATTGATCTTGTCGAATCATGTTCCTCAACTCGGTCAACTCATCATATGGTTCAAACCACGGTTTACTGCAATTTCAACGGTTCAGTTTAGAACCGATTTACAGGAATTGTCAACAAACCGATTCAACTCGTTTGAATTGATTTGACAATATTCCAGTCCGTACATCTCTAATTAAATTACATACACATAATACACTACATAGAGGCATTTGCTACATTTTACTAATCTGTGGTTGGCATTTGTAGATTTAGTAGGTAGTCAATCCCATCATTAATTCCCTTCCATTCATGTACTACTAGCTCCCACCCAACTAGCTCCATTCAAGCATAATCAACTTCCCGAAAACAAATTAAGACTATAGACAATAGAGTATTTCAGTGATGCAACATATTGTACTCCACAGAAAGAAAGTAATAAATGGACAGTCGACCATAGAGATATAAGCATAGAGTGAGCAAGCATCCCAATCTTGCAAAGCTTGAAATATAGGCAACGTGAGACACAGATAATTAATAAACTCAAACTCAAAATATCTTTATTTCATAAAAATAAAATTGTTCGAAATCGTCTTTTATGTAGACAAAAAATAGCAACAATCTCTCTTTGGTCAAATAGCAAAAATTAAAATTATACTAATACAAAATCTATGAAATGCCGGTGCCGATCTACAAACGCCTGTTTCCAAGGGGTTAAGCCTTATGATAAGAAAGGGCAAACAAGCTCATCAAACATCACCAATCTTTTGCAATTTACAGATAGATACAATGGCATCATTAAATATACTACAACATTGTTTTAATGTGTGCCAGTATGTCCATTATTAAGGACCAAAAGGTAAGCCTTCAGCTTTACAAGCCGCAAGTCCGGTCGCATATGGAATACTGTTCTCATCTCTATCCAGGGGGCACCTCAGTACCAGTTTCTCCCTCTGGACTGCATCAAATGAAGGGCGACTCGAATCGTAGCTAGCCCAAACATCTCCAAACGGCTCGATCCCTTGGCGTTACGTAGAGATGTGGCTTCACTCTGCATTCTCTATCGCATATAACATGGAGAGTGCTTCGAGGAATTGTTCGGACTAATACCAGCCGCAACTCTCCGCCATCGTTCCACACGGCAAAGGCAAAATTTTTTTCATCCTCATCACCTGGATAGCTGGCGCTCCACAACTGCATAACCAATCTGTGGAATGGGTATTTCCGGACTGATACGACCTTCAAACCTTCAAGAAAAGAGCTAATTCTTCCTAAAAGGCCTGCAACGCGTTTATGGGCGGCGATGGTCACTTCCATCATAGCTAGGTACACATAGTACAAAGCTGGCAGGACCTTAATAATAATATTAATATAATTAAGTAACAAGAATTCTAAAATAAAAATTACAATTCATTCACATATAGTCGTAAACGCGTTATTCTGTTCTAAGATTAATTAATAGAACTCACTGATACACCTCGAAATACTGATATCACACTCCCGAGCAATAACCACACAGCCACACTACAACATGTACAATCACATCAGTATGATACTAAAAAACATTGTGATACTAAAAAAACAGCACAGAAAACAACAGAAGTGAACTGTTCACTAATAGCTGGGTATTTATGTATATACAATCCATGATGACTTACGTCCAAGTTAGGCCGAGCCCGTCTTAGACGCCATTTATAGTTTTTATTCGCCATATTTACTAGGAACTTAAGTATATCATATGTATGTATAGTATATGTAGTAAAAACAGATGTGAACATTCAAACGAATACCAAAGCTAGGCACATTGTTTATAAATGTGGGTAAGTTTCACATTGGTAATACAGTAAGTAAGTTTGCGTGGAAGTAAAATACACCGAACCGTCAAACGAATACACTTATGAATGAGAAAAGCCCCCACCATGTATGCGAACTTAGGACATTTTTGAAGTAAACATTTTTATTTAGTATTAAGTAAGTATGCTCCTGAAAGCAATGTTAAGTATAAACAAGGCTCGATTTACTAGTTAAAATGGATTATTATCTTTTCACCTACATGCAATATGCATACATAAATATTCACATACATACACACACACAAGTACATATATATACATACACACAAATTCATACACATACATATACATATACTTTTCTACTTGACAACCAGGAACAAATATACAAATCTATTTCTTCATAATTTTTCGATTTCAGCCATGATGTTAAAGCTTTTTTTAAATACGTTTTCACGAAACGGGTAGATTTTTAAAATTTTATTTACTTTATTGTAAAGCATTGGACCACGGTAGCACTGGATTTTTTAATAAAGGCAGTATTGTACAATACCGTAGGACATATCCTTTCGTCAAACGGACATGCAACTGTAATATTTGACCTTTTAATGTTGTGCTATAATAATGGTTTTAATAAATAACTGCCTGATCGTCAGCTCATCACATTCTGAATATTGGTCGACTGTAGGGTACTGGAAGGGTGAGGGTTGGCTCGAGAGGCATCACGGGACCCTCTCATACCGGTTGACGCAGGTGATCACGGGGAAAGGATGCTTCGGGGATCACCTGTGTCTGATCCGCAAGGAGCCAACGCCTGGGTGCCACCACTGCGATGGCCGGACCGTGGATACGGCGCTCCACACTCTAGCAGAATGCCCGGCGTGGGTGGAGCAGAGGCGTGACCTCGTGGCGGCCATCGGGGTGGGAGATCTCTCGCTCGATAACATGATTGCGGAGCGAGAGTGCGTGGAACTCCGCCGTCTCCTTCTGCGAGCAGGTTATGCTTGCTTATGGCGGAGCGAGACCGGGAGAGGTTCAGAACCCTCCCGCGGCTCGCCAGGCCGGGCCGAGACCGGGCCAGGTATCGCAGACGGCTCGGGGCGCCGGAGGTCGCAGACCGACCTCCATCCTCCATAAACGCAGGCCTGAGAGTGACAGGTTAGGCCATCTGTCACTCTAGCAGAAGCAGGCCGGGGTGGGTAATGGCGCGACGCGCTACGGAGCGCGCGCGCCCTTCTGAGCAGGAAGGGAACATCCGGGTTCCCACACAGGAGGGGTCATCTATGTATAAGCCGTAGAAAGCCTGAGGTACGTCGGCAAGCCTGGTTCCCCGGCTACTGGTACCTGAAGAAGACGTGCGGCTTTTGGTCAGTTCGAGTCCGACATAATCAATGGGTGATATCCCAGGGGAGTTCGTCAAGTGTCTTGAATTTTTGAAAACGTATATTAACCTACGTATTCTTCAGCTAGATAATACTCGATCTAAGTAATTGCAATTGCAGTTTATATTGGTTTTATTTTGACAGCAATGGTATTGTATCTTTAAGTTTTGTGTTGCCCTCAGTGAAATCTCCGTATTACCAAAAGTGATAAATTTTGTTTTTTGAACATTAAGAGTTAGCCAATTTGCGACTCTCTGGAGGCCTAATTCAGTGTAATATCTAACTTCGTCCCATCTAGATTCGTAAAAAAATAATCAGCAAACGTGAACATTTGTTGTTGTTAATACTTAAGTCTAGAATATTATTTGGGATTTTATTAAAACATCCAACATTGACCTCGAAGCCGGAGTCTATAGGTAGGTACTTCAACTTTATTTCTAGTTCTGGTATTTATGAAATGTATGGTCGCGGTCATAAGTCCAGTAGCACTTTTACTAAGTTATAGCATTATAACTAGTTGGACTTCTAACCTTCTTCTATTAACGTATAACACACACATATACACTCTACGTGTGATTGATAGAGGGAACTATCCATCTCTCTCGTTGCCTGTATCGCTTACCTTACCTATGCAGTCGACCATCGCTTATGGTACCTGTAAATTACCTTGAAATATCTTGATAACGATGCAAATATAAAATAATAAACGTATTTTTAAAACTATGTAGAATACAACCGTGAAGTACAGGTACAAAGGTATCTCTTTACGGTAATTTAGTTTATTAAAAACAAGAACGATATACCATTTCTATCAACAATGTTGCTTTGACTTGATAGAATTAGTATGGTTAATAGTAATCAGCCTTGGATCGAAAAACAATAATATATACGAATCGTAAACATAAAAAAGCTGTTATTATTAATTATTCTACCTATTCAAGCCATGTCTCTTTTGACGTGTCAAATTCGTTATCTTAGTCGGTTATTTCTCAAGCTTAAAAATGTGCTGGAGCATACATACGATTTTGTAGACAGTTTTTCAAAAAATCTCATTTATTTTTACGATACGGCCTGTAATTCCTGTATAAATACAGATTATTATGATTTTATAATTTAATATTAAGAACCGGAATACGAACTCTTTAAAACTGCAAACAAAATTAGAATCCAGAGCAGAGTATTTTTTAAATGAATTAGGAAGGAATAAAACTGGGTTTTCTAAGAAAACATAAAAGTTCAACTTTTGGATAATACAATAGGGGGTCAAAATGATTGCATAGGACCTCCCCATTAACTTCTTCAAAGGATCCGGTCTAATTACTAATAACGCTATCTGTATAGTGGAGTATAAAATGATAAAATAAAGTACCTATTTGATTTATCTATTCTGAGTATTTTTTTGCTTGAAAACCCATTATGACAATGTGATATTATTATTTTAGTATGTTCCTAGGTCCTAAATTTCAAATCGATTACAATTGTGATTTAAAACAACACTAACAAGAGTGACAACAGTCACAAAATTCTGTACTCGTTCATCGTTGTCAGAGATGTACTTTGCGAATTGACTGAATGTATCGTATTCATTTTGTCGTAAATTGTAATGCTTTTCTTATGCTCTATCTTCGCAATAACAATTTAGAGTATATCGTAATTAGGTAAAGAATATATAAGAACCGAATTGTAAAATTTATGTTTTATATGTGACCTAAGTAAATGAAAGATAGTGACAATGTTTAAAAAATTAAAGGACAAACTAGCTGAAGAGGTAAAATCGTCGCCTCAAAGAATACAACAATTTGCTCAGGCTGCTCAGGTACTCAGTTTAATTCAAAAGTTTTGTTTACTAGTATTAGTATCTACTACGAGTAAATTTATAGACGATGGTTTGCCTTGTGTTCTTAAACTAAAATTATTTACTCACCACTGATTCGCCCATAAACACTGTTTGCGCAAACTCGTTATCGATAGAAAAGTTAAACAGGATAGTGTCTTAATCTGGAATCTGTCTTAGAAATTATTCTTTAAATTTTATGTTTCTGGTCATTTTAACAACTTAATTTATCAGTTATGGTTTTTATTTTTGTGTGTAATATTAAAAATAAAAATAAAGACTATTTATATGTATAATCATAAATCCTAGTTCCCAGAAGAGAGTAGCTTGCTTTAATGATAAATGATTGAGTATGCAGCATTAACATAATTTTACCATGTAAATTGATTCGCTAATTTATTCACAACCAAAAAAAACAAAATGTTGAACACCCAGAATCATCATTGACAGCCTTTACTAGTCCACTGCTGGACATAGGCTTCCTCTTAGAAAGGAGGTTTTGGCCTACATTACCATACTGGTATATCAGTATGGTAATGTATAATCATACTGAAGCTTTACTTAATTTTCATTGTTTACAGGCTGCTGTTACATCTGCATCTAGCAGTATATCTGATATTACAAACAGTGATTTGTTCTCTATAGGTGATAATGGTAAGTTTACCTTGTAGGAAATCAATTATTTTGCAGTGTTGATAGACATATTTATTTTATAATAATTTGTAATGAAGTATTATGAAATGACTGCATAATGAAGAAAATATATATTTTAATTTCAGACTCACAACAACAAGCAGCTAAGTCACAAAGAACACTCAACAGTCAACAGAATACATTCCAAGATGTTTCTCTTGTACAGCCAATTCAACCTTCTTCAGAATCAGCAGACTATAGTACTGCCTCCCAAGATATACTTGTAAGATTTTAATTAGTAACATTCCATATTGGAATGACTTTTTATCCCATGTAATAATCAGTATTAACTTTTTTACAGGATAATCAAAGGCAAAGAAGACTGTCTAACAGCTCCTTTGCTAGTGATGTATCATTCAGATTACCAAGTTATGAGACTCCTTCTATGTATCATTTACAAGTAAGTGACATGACAAATAAATGTGTTATTTTGATAGATACTTTGAGGGTCCTTAATTTTTCTAATAGTTATGAACGAAGCTTAAACAATCATAACATAAGTACATAGCTATAAAACAAATGCTCCTACAGTTAATAGTGTAAAACAGAAATGTAATTCTTCAAACTCTCTTCAAGGTCAAGCATTGAAGCATTATACAGTTACAACCTAATTTAAAAAATACCTACACATTTTCTAAAAAAATTTATTTAGAAAATATAAAACAATTCTCAAATTTGAGGTAAGAAATCTTATCTTCAATACACAAACAATAATTAATCTGCTAAATGATCCAAAGATTTATTAAAATCTTCAATTGAACCTGAGAACCTATGTTCTCAATACACATATATTGTGTAAAAGGAAAAAACAATACCAAACTTATAATAATTGCAAATCTATCAAAGGCCGGCGACGCGCTTGTTACTCCTGAGTTACAGGCGTTCAAGGGCGATGGTAGTGGCTTTCCATCAGGTGGCCCGTCTGCTCATTTGATTCTATTCCATAAAAAGAAAACAATTTATATTGCAACTACTCACCCAATATTACAAACCATCTCTAACATCAGCCGCCGATGGTCATTCAGAAAGACAAAACTATAAGTTTTCTTGTTAAGATAATGTTACTCTAATAAGATCCTACTTTTTATTTCATTACTCCAAAGAGATTTTTCCAAAAAATACAACAAAGGCAACTTCTTATTTTACGATTGAGTTAATGTGATTGTCACATCTTTCTCCATTTATTTCATTTATTTAGCTTAGATCATTGTAAAGGGGCCATCCATAAATTATGACATATGTAAGGGGGGGAGCGGGTCGACTAAGTGTGACATGTGTTACATGGGGGGGTGGGAGTTTTGTGACTTAACATTTTAAAACCTAAGAATATCTAAGTATTAAAACGTGAAATTTGAATTATTGCAGTAATATAATTCATCATTTTGTTTATTTTTTTCAAATGTTTTTCAAATTGTAATAAATAATAATTTAAAGAGAAATACAACTACCAGACATGCCATTGTTTTCCTTAAATATATATTATATACTGTTGAATTGAATATAATATAATATATTAAATATAAGTCACTTCTGGTAACTGTCTGATGCTTTGAGGTATCTTTGCAAGTCACAGTTTTATAAAGTTATATATTTATGTTTTAGTCTGATATGGAAGTATCTGCCAGTGAAGCTGAAGAAAGAGGATTCTCTAGTGGAACAGTAAGTCTGGATAGAGTAACGAAGGAACAACTCTATGCTGCTTATCGCCGCACACAAGAGCGATACACCAAATACAGAACACAATATGGTGACCTTGCACGACACTATAAATTGCTTGAGAGAGAAAATGCTAAAGCGAGGGTAAGAAAAATTCATTAAAATGATTGTCATTAACTGTTTATTTGTACAATCTGATCTTAGAATGTAATTCCTTTACAGAGTGTATTAGTCGAAACACAAGATAAGGCTTTAAGGAGAATATCAGAATTACGTGAACAATGTTCCTTGGAACAAAGTGCAAAGGTATTTTAATTGTTTTTAACAACAATTTCGTGGAATGGAAATAGATCAGCAAGATGTCTACTGTTAAATATAAGTCTCTAGAAGACTCATATTTAACAGTAGTAATCATAAGCATTTTGGCTTTAGTGTATAAAGGTCTCACTGACTTGTAATGTCATGTTGAACATGTGAGGTTCCTTCGTTGATATATGTATATTTAAAAGTTATGTGCTTTAAGCGTCTGGTATATAAAAATAACAAAATCAGTAATGCGTTTGACACAACCTCAACAGAAATAATAATGAATCTGTAACCCCAAACACTGTCTCTTAAGATACAGGTAATTCACCTAGTTTAAGAGGCAAAATTCCACATCTCGAATACAAAATTTGTAAATTTGGATCAACTGTGTATTCACATATTTTACATTTTTGCTTCATCATCATCATCATCATCATCAACAGCCTATAATAGTCCACTGCTGGACATAGGCCTCTCCTTAGAAAGGAGGTTTTGGCCTACTATACCACGCTGGCCAGACGGGTTGGTATAGGGTTTGTTGCAAGTTTTCCTTCTCTTTGCAGTGCTGTTGTCCTGCGTAGTTTGTTCCCTTAGTCGGCTCTTACGACACCCACGGGATGAATGACATTTTGCTTAAAAGTAAAGAATTATTATTATTCAATATGCAAAGTTAAATGTATTATTATAAAACCTTTTAGAATATGATTGCTATATATGGCATAACATGAAGCTAAGTCTTTGAAATTTGATGTTCTTTTATTGATTAAATAGGTACTCATAATTAATATCAAGAAAGCTTAATAAACAAGTACATGGGTACTAATTTGTAAGGAATTAAAAAACTACGTGTACTTTAAATATTGGGAGGTGAAGTAGTCAGATGGAAGGGAAGAGCAGAATTCTTTTGCAAAGTATTAAATGACAGGACTGAAGTATTTTAATTAAGTACGTCTGAAAAAATCGAAAGTCAGTCAAGCCCATAAAAGTACTGCCATCAATCTGCACGGGAGCACTTTCATACCAGCTTGCGCCTACTTCGTTCAAAGACGTGCTGTGCAAACTCAATTCCGTAATCACCAGCGGTATTAGATACATAAGCCTTAGGCGTGACTTTTTCTCGTGTTGTTATCTTGAAACTTACTTATTTGGATTTGCAGGCGTCGAAAGGTTATGATATTCATTTACGAGTAGGCAAGCTCTATGCTTGTTTGCCACCGACGCAACTTAGTAAAATAAATATATAATGTTTATAAAAGTAGTTTCTTCTTTTACATTTTAGTGGTTCTCTATATATATTAAATATAAGGCGTTAAAATACTGTTCTAAATATATGTAGAAAAAGTATTTTGTATGTAGTAAAGCCAATTCTGTTCAATTTTATAAGATAAAAACAAAGTGTTGAGTTTTTTTATTACCCAGAAAACATTCAGTAATCAGTCATATATTATTTTCATGCTTTTTATTATGTTTGAAGGCTCATCTGGAAAAAGCTCTTCGTATAGAAATCGACGAGAAAAACATGAAAATCGAAGCGCTTAATACAAAAGTACTATTATTACAGAGTAGTGCAGATATCAGTTGCAATAACGACAAAAATGAGAGCATACATAAACCGTCTGAAGGTGATGTACAATTAATTAATCTTTCTAATGACAATGAGATACAGCCAATTTCGCAAAAGAGAGAAACAAGTAGCGATTCAGAAGCGGAAATACTTGCATTAAATCATAAGATTGAGAAAATGGAACAGTTATTAAACAAGTATAAAGATTCACTCAAAACGAGTAAAGAGAAAAACTCTCAAATTCATGCGGAACAACAAATGTTGTCAAACGAACTTGAAACTAAAAACAAAGAAATCCACGATTTAAAACTCACAGTTGCGCAACTGACGGAAGCTAAACAGAAAATTCAAGAATTAACATATTTAAACGAAGAATTGCAAAACAAATTAACTGAGTATGAATTTAACAAAACGCGGGAGCGTTCCACACTTGAAGCTGACTATCAAGAAGCACAAGAAGAGATCGCAAAATTGAGTAGCAAAATTGAAGTATTTAGTAAAAGAGAAGAAGAATACGCCATTTCTTTAGCAGAAAATAAATTAAGTATACATAAAGAATTAGAGAGTAAAGAAGCAGAAATAAGGTCACTAAAAGATAATTTAGATATTAGCAAGAAAGAAATACTTTCTCTAAACATAGTTGTAAATGATTACAAAAAAAACCTATCATTATTGGAAACAGAGCGATCAAAACTAATGCAAGACAGTACGGAATTGAATTTAACTAAGTCTAAAATTGCAGACATGGAAGTGCAGATTGAAGAACTTTCTAGGAAATGTCAAGGTTTAGAACAGTTCAAAACAAAAGCAGATGAAGGATACAAATGTCTTCAGTTACAAATGAAACAAGAAACGGCTGAAAAACTAGCAATGATTGATAGAAATGTATACTTAGAAAATAGAAATACTCATCTAAGTGAAGAAAATGCTAAGAAAAGTACCCAAATATGTAACTTAGAAAGTGAATTACAGAAAAAAGAAAAAGCTATAAAAACACTCACAACTGAAGATTCCAAAAATAATGAACTTGTTGCAGAACTTAATGTGTGGAAAGACAAATATTCCAAATTAGAATCAGAAATTCAAGAAGAAAGAGATGAACTAATTAAATTACAATCTGAAATCGAAAAATTATTAGCAAATCATGAATTATTGCAATCACAGAATATTGAGTATAGAAAAGTTGTATCTGATTTAAAATCAGAAAACGCATCTTTGCAAGACAGATTGGTGAAAACCAATAAACTTAAATCAAGTTGTTTAAAACTTGTGAATGAAATCAAATCAATTAAGAATTTAACTAAGTTAATATCGAATGATGCAAAATCTCTACAAATAATAAACAACCAAGCGTTTATATCCCTTGTTGAACAAATAAATTATGCGTTGAACAATGCATCTCAAAGCGACCATAATTTATATTCAGACACACAACTAAAAAATATTACTTTACAACAAGAAATAGAATCCCTCAAGGTAAAATATGATACTCTATTACAACAATTCCAATTAATAGAAAATGACAACAATAATTTTAAATTAACAATTAGTGAATTTGAATCAGAAAAGACCACTATAGCTGAACAAGCGAAAAATCAGTATGAAATGGCCATGCAGCAATTGAACTGTGCAAAAGAAGAAAATGAAAATTTATGTCATAAAGTCAATGAAATGGAAAATAATTTTCAAAATTTGCAAATAGCCATGGAATTTGAGAAGAAACAATATTTAGAGACTCTTGAAAAATTAAAGACATCAGAAAATAAAAAACAAGACTTATTAGCAAAACTTGAAAATATAGAAAAAGAAAACGATTTAGTTAGTAAAGAATTAGATGCACTTAGAGAAATACATAGAGTTTCTGTAGAAGAAGCAAATAGTGTTAAATGTGAAAAATCTGATTTATTAAATGAAATAAAAAACAAAGATGATCAAATAGCGTCAGTCAATACCCTCCAAGAAGAGTACAATGCCCTGACTTTGGAAAATATATCGTTAAAAAGTCAAGCCGAAAGCTTAGCTGACAGTTATAAAACTTTGGAAACTGAGATCAGTGATGTACGCAAGGCACATGTAGAAGTAGTCTCTGAAAAAGATCGATTAAGTAAGGTAATTGAACAACTGGAGAGTAGTGCATGTAAAACCACTCGCGACCAAGATAGTCAGACTGATAATGAAGGTGAACAACCAATAAAGAATCAGATTGTGAATGTTGGCGACCAACGTATAGTCCTCGACAATATAAGTAATGTCATGGATAAGAATTTAGAAAACCTTCGAGAGTCTCAGCTGGTTCAAAACGATGATAATGAACTATCTAATAAATATATTTCGATAAAAACTGAATACGATCTATTGAAAGACGAAAACAGACGTTTCAAATCAGACATTGAAGGTCTCCAAACATACTTGACGAAAATATCTAAAGAAAACAGTATCTTAAATGATAAACTTAGAGAACTGATAGCTACAAGTGAACATTCCATTGACAATACTGACTTCAGTGATTTATCAGAATTGAAAAATGATTTCCAGACAAGCAAAGATAAAATAGATGATTTATTGAGAGAAAATAATTTACTAATTGAAGAAAACTTGGAACTTAAAGACCAATTACAGTTCCAAAATCATCCCCAAACCAATATCAGATCATCTGACAAAGAAGTCGCCTTAATCAACGAAAAGTACAATAATTTATTACAAGTCAACAGTACATTAGAACAACGATTAGCCGATTTAGAACAAATGAATAAATCTTTTAATGGCACTATGACGCAAGTGCAAGATAAAAACGAAAAATTAAGGATATCCAATGAAAAACTTGAGAGGAGGCTGGACGAAGCACTTGTAAGTTTAAGGCACTTACATTCATTGCAAGAAAATACTGAACTCGAATACTTGCGGAACATTCTTTATGAGTACCTCACGGGCTCCGGTATGCATTCCGTTACATTAGCTAAGGTGCTATCTGCCATTGTAAAATTTGACGACATGCAAACAAAACTAGTTCTGCAAAAAGAAAAGGAAAGACAAGGATTCGTAAGTTTTTTTATAATTTATTACTTTTATACTTGGGAATGAACATTTAATATGGGTAAAGTCCAATAGGCCGAGTGTTACTCATCACGATCTTGTGCGATCTAGAGCCACTTCCTTCCCGCTGTCCTCTTAATATCGTCATCCCAACGCGTAGGTGGTCTTCCTGGCGGACGTTTTGACTCCGTGGTCGGCACTCGAGTAACCGCTTGCTCCAAAAATCAGTCTTGTGTGCCATAGAGTTCCCCAAAACACAAAAAAATTGTTAGCTTAAGAACTACCAGGAGGTCAATTCTAAGTTCGGTCAATGTTCGGTCTCAATTCTGTTCCGATGAATATTCGATCTAACAACTGTCCTTTCAAAATACCTTTTATGACAGTTGTGAAATCGAAAGTTGATCGGAATTGGCCTTCTGAACTAATGTTTTTATTAATGTAAAGATATTAGTATAATACCTAAACCACCGTTAAAGTGTTTCGATATTGATTTTATCTACAAGTATTCTTGCTAGAATTTATATGAAATACATCAATAATAGTCCACTGCTGGACATAGGCCTCTCCATGCGAAGGAGGTTTTGGCCTACTGGCCAGACGGATTGGTTTGTTTTAAATTCTTCCTTCTCTTTGCAGTTCTGTTTTCCTGCATAGTTTGCTCCCTTAGTCGGCTCTTACGACACCCACGGGATGAATAGGGGTAGTGACATTATGTATTCTTAATCCGTTACCACATGGAAAAGGGTTGGGCTCTTAATAACGAAAACGGCGTCCCAGTGCTCAGCATTTCGGTCGGCATTCGGTCGGTCATCGGTCGCGTACGGTGGACGGTTAGAGAACTATGCGCCTTAACCAAACTATACCGAATTCAATATATTTTCTTAAGTCAAGTTTGTTCTCATGTTTATTTATTTTTTGTTTCAGCTACGGCAACTGGGCATTATCTGATATTGAGCACATGAGACGCACTTTGTTACCTTTTTAACAAATCAATTTTAAGATATTTCTTTATTAAACTGTAAATTTTATGGAGGTTTATAGATTTCTTATTTTTAAATTATTGTTATTGAATAAATTATGATATGCATAATAAAAATATAAGTTATTGATATTTATTACATTGTTTCTTTTTTTTCGCCACATTAAAACCATCCAAACGTCCTTGCCGCAAACTATCTATTTAATTAAAGGTACTTACATAGCTTTATTTTTCTGTGCGGATATCCCCTCGGATATCACCCACCGGTGGTTATGTTGGATTCGAACCGACCAAAAACCGCACGTCGAGGAAGGAAATCTCTTATACCCCGACCTCGGTCCATATACGGTAAATGACCCTGTGTTGGAAACCCTATGTCTATGTCCCCTTTGTGCTCCCGAAATAGCGCGCCGCTCCGCAACGCGTCTCGTCCCCACCGCTGATATTAGGGTGACAGATGGCCTCACCTACCTACCCCCCAGGCCTGCGCTTATGAAGGAAGGAGGTCGTTCTGCGACCTTCGGCGCCTGAGTCGTCTGCGGTACCTAGTCCGTTGCCGGGTCTGGCGGGCCGAGAGAGTTCTAAACCTCTCCTGGTCCCGCTTAGCCATCTCCTTTGCAAGCATAACTTGCTCGCAGAAGGAGACAGCGGAGTTGGCGGCAATCATGTTACCGAGCGAGAGCATTCCACGAGTCAACGCCTCTGCTCCACCCGGGCATTCTGCCAGCGTGTGGAGCACCGAGTCTACTCAGGTGGCACTCAGACGTTGGCTCCTTGCGGATCAGACAGGTGATCTCCGAAGCATCCTTTCCCGGTGATCACTTGCGTCAACCGGTATGAGAGGGTTCCGTGATGCCTCTCGAGCCAACCCTCCATAAAGGGTCCTACCTCTTATTGTAAAACTATAACGAATAAGATTAGCACGTAAGATCTGTTGTACTTACTTTATGCAAATTAAAACTTATCATTAATTTTACATTGCGGTGGGAGAGCTATGCTTCGGCACAAATGGGCCAGCTCACTGAAAATCACGTTCGTCCATTAATGGAGAGGCCATTAAGACAGGGACATTATCTGGTAAAACATCAACCATCCAAACTAGTATCTATAATTTTTTTATATATATAATTTCTCATAGTGTCCAGTAGTCTACTAGTCAAGCCCTTTCATTTGATAACCTTTGAGGGAGTTGTAAAAAAATATATACTCCGCTATTTTGTGGCGGCGGCCATCTTCGAAAAATTTATCATCAAACATAGCTATGAACACTCCTGACTAAATCACCTTTCAAAGAAAAAAATCAAAATCGGTTCATCCGTTTGGGAGCTGCGATGTCACAGACAGACACACACACACAGACACGTCAAACTTACAACACCCAGTTGTTTTTGCCCATGGATATTATCTTCTATCTTATTAACTAAGATCCATATTATAACAGGTTCCTGCACCCCTGTTCTAGGTATGGAGCTCCGAGCAATTGTCGACAAATAGCAAAGCAAAATATCCCAATGTAATATTCAAGTAATAATTAGTAACAATGAAAAATCAAATAGTTTCTCATGTTTGTAGAAGAGAAATAGAAAACTGAAATTTATTAACTGTCTTATAAAATATGTTTTTTTATCAATTCATTCAAACATTTCACACAACAACAAAAAAAAACTTGTACGAAACGAACTGCTGTTTCAGATGTTCATTCAGTCTGTTTAGAAATTAAGGTTATGTCATTGTCATTGTCACGTTCACAGAGTACGGGGTATATATGTTCTGTGCAGAGTACATTGTAATATACGTCACGTTATGTGAGGTTATATTTTACTTACAACAAAGGGCTACAAGTACCTTTAAAGAATATTGAAAATTTAATTTTTATATATTGTATCCGCAAAAAAGTTATAAATTGCGTTAGACAAGTGTTTATAATGAGTACTTCAAGAGGAAGTAACGTTAGGAAACGCCCTCAAAAGCATCAAAACAGAACTGCATTTAAAAATGATTTACATGACACTAGCCACAAAACTAAATTTATTAATTCTTTAGAAGTAACAGGAGTCTGTAACCGTTGCAAGGATATTATTGAATGGAAGATTAAGTATAAGAAGTACAAACCCTTAACTGCAGCACGGAAATGTGTAGGTTGTGAACAAAAAACAGTTAAATATGCTTACCATTTGATGTGTACTCAATGCGCTAAAGACAAACAAATATGCGCTAAATGTTGCAAACCAGTTACGGTACGTTTTCTAAAATTTACAATAACAAGGTATATTTTTAAGAAATAAAAGTATAACATTATTTTTCATAGGTTGAAAATATTGAATTTGTTGATGGCAGTGAAAAAACAGATTTAAAAGCAATGTTAAAAGACTTACCAGAAAGAAAGCGTCGGACTATCCTCAGGTAATTATTACCTTTCTTTTTCTTGCAGAGTATGGCATGTTAGTAATATAAGTTTCAATATTATTACATATAAATTATAAATAATAATATTAATATATAATCATATAAATGAAAAGTGATAGCTATGAATATTATTACCCTGTTTTTTTTTGGGGTTAGATGCTAATACTTAATATGTAAGAAATTAGTTAGGGGTTTAGTCAGAGGAAGTGACCATGGTCACTGAAAGAATGGCAAACCCCCTTGTGTTTCTTGAGTTGCAAGTCTATGCAGCAGAAGTCACTTCCTAAAAAATTGACAATAGATTTTTACAGTGGAATATGTTTTTATTTTTCCAGACACTTAAACAATCAAGAAGGTGGTCAGGAATATGTTACCCCGGAAATAAAGGCACAAATAGAAGATATGTTAACAAAAATGGAAAATATTGATTTAGATGATGAGCAATTTTTTTCTGATGAGAGCTTATCAGAAAGTAATGAACAGAGTACATAAAGGCAATTTTTTTTTCAATGCTACAATTAAATATTTTCTTCACATAATTGATTCCTCTTTTCTGGAGCAATATAAAAAGCTATGTTATACTAGATGAATTGAAACCACAAGAGCAATCCTGATAACAGACTATCAATACATACTTTTCATTTATAAAACAAGAAATAACCGCTCCTCCTTCCTTCCCTACTGTTTAAGGAACTAGATTGTTTTAGACTGACTCATGGCTGTTGAAGATCACCTGTTTCTGTTCCACCATTGAGGCACACCAACATAATCATAAGAGTCCTGCAATTAAGGCAAAAACAAGCTTTTGTAGTTCCCCATGGAACTTTTGCAACCCACTAGTTCCATACATGTACAGTACTAGGGGGTTTTGTTCCATACATGGAGTTCCATGTATGGAACAAAACCCCCTAATAGCTATTCCCATTAGTAGCTTCGAATAGCTATTACCATTAGTTAATGGTAATAGCTATTTGAAGTGGAGAATTATACCCAACCATGGAGTTTCAGTTACAAAATATATTAGTAGACATGTAGTTATAAGACATGAAACCCTTTTCCATGTTTTCTTGTGCTACAAAAAAAACCCTAGTCAGGGGGTCCTCGTAGATATAATAGATGCCAAAATACGATTTTTAAAATTCTTGTCTGTCTGTCTGTGTGGCTGTTGTACGATTTGGCATAGCGACATGGACAGGATGAGAAATGACAGCTCACAAACTTCCCATAGGTTCTGTAACGTAAAGCACCTAGTTATTACCCAAGCTCAGTCCTCCTAGCTTAGATTAATTTCCTAATTTTTTTAATTGAGTGAAGCTTTCTCATAATTAAATCAAATCAGTTTCAAATCAACCAAAGATATTTTGACATCACATCACTGATTGACTATTTTTCGACTACAGAGGTTAATTTTATTAACTCTTAATGTAGTTTTAAGATCATAGCTCATCAGAAACACCTGACCAACAAACCTATCGTGTTGTTATTCGTCGTTTGACACGGTAGCTGTTGTCACCTGTGAACGTCGCGTGGTCAACCATTGGACATCGCATATTCAAAGAGGACACCGCGTGGTCTACAAATCATCAAATATGCTAGTAGACTGTCAACGCATCGTCTTCGCATGTAAAACTCGCAGGCAGCGTACGGTCTACTAGGGGGGCGGGTGTGCGTTTGCAAAGGCGCAGTCAGCATGCGAGCCAAGAGTTGTCACCAGTGGTGGATTATCCCTAATAGTAGGGGAACCCTAGAAGGGATTTACTCGAACGTGTCAGATTAAGATAGTAGGAATACCATACACCCAGTTGAGTACCCTCACCTTACATGAGCCCGATGTTACAACTTATTTGGTATTTGTATTTTCTTCGGCTGCGAAGTTATTCGAGATCCTGCTGGAGTAACGTTTGTGGGTTTGCTGGATCTCTGAAACGGGTAAGCGGATTGTAACCATCTTTTGTACATAACTTCTTAAGGATGAGTTTTAATTTGTTCGACAATAAAATAACAAAAATAATGGACCGTTTAAAAATTATTTAGGTAAGTATGAAAACACTTCAATACGTCCTAACACTTTAAATAAGACCTCTAAAGACTTACTTCAAACGTTATTCTATTGCTTGTAACTACCTTCAAATGTATACGAATTTTCGTAAGAATACTGTAAGTGACTAAAAAGTTATGATGAAATGTAGCTCTCCACGTTCACGATCACAATGTGTGCGGCCTTTTTTGGCCACCGATAAACCTGTGTGTGGATATATAAACTGAATGTTATGCCAATAATTAGTTGTTTAGTTCAGTTGTCTACCTGTAGAATTTCAGCGTCGTACATATAATAATTTACGAGATAATTAAATAAAAGTCATTAGAAGGTGCAAGACCGTGGTAACCCGACCATGTTTAGGTGGTTACAATAAAGCGATCACCCAGTACATTGCGCTGTCTTTTAAAATGTTTAGTGTAATACACCTTACGATTTCGGTACAGTTGCGTGCAGTGTTAAATACATTCAATATTTATTGATTATTATTACCTATTATTTATTTTGTTCTTTTTTTCCTAATTGATCTTAAGCATTAGTTTCTTTACTTAAAATTTCTTTAGTCTTTTTAACTACCGGAGCTACAATCAACAGAAAATCTGCACTGGTCCGCTAAAATTAGAAATAAACATGTAGGTATCTACAATACATGTATGAACGATTCACCTGACTGCAATAAATCGAAAATTTAAACCAATAAGAAATCGTTTCATTTCTTTGATTTTTTTTTGTAAAGAAATGACACTAAAGTAATTGTATTTTATTTTGAGGTTTATAGAGCTTAGACTTGAATGCATCAAAATATTTAAAGCAACAAGTCATCTACAATAAGTTAAAATAGACCGAATAGTAGAAAAATACAGTTGTAAATTAGAATGCATCAACATTGCATCGCCCAACAGTCGTATACCTCGTAAGAGTAGGTAATATTGTTCTGTGGTCTATACCGAGAACCGAGAATTATCTATACCCATTGATATAATACTTACATAGATGAGTAATTACCGCCGAAAATCGTTGCTACTGCACATCTGTCCACAGGCATATGCGTAGCAAACGTCAATTCAGTATTCAATGTGGCGTCAACCGAGTTGAACATAGCGACACATGACAGTAACAATCGCCAAAATGGCTAAATGCGTAGTGAAAGAATGCGTTTCAAGGTCACAAAACATTAATAAATCATGCGGAATTACTTTTCACGTGTAAGTTTATGGTTTTTGTATTGATAATATCGTAAATAAGGCTATAATTGAAATAAAACACTGATAATTGTAATTTAGAATCAGTGTTACCATTAAAAAATCATTTTGGTTTTCCCACATTAGTGGGAGATTTTATAATTTGTGAAATAATATGCTTTATACTGTTTTTAAACATTTTGCCAATTATAATAAAATATAGGAAGAACGGTAGTTGTTAGGGCTGGACCGATCACTTTTTTTAGGGACCCGTTGAACGTTCACTGCGAGCTGCTGGAGACTTTTGTACAAAATAATTAATTCATTGTTTTTCTTAATTTATTATCAATTTTAAATAATAATTGTACAAAATAATAATAATAATAATAAAAAATGTTATCATAAAAATAAAAAATAAAAATATAAAATAAAAAGGTAAATAAACATAAATAAAAAAAAATATAAAATATAAATAAAAATATATTTTTTTTTATTATTTGTTTTTCAAATTATAATAGAATTTGCAATACACCCTGGGGATTATTTATTATCAGTACAAGTTGATCATTCACTTTTGTTAGTATGTAAAAATAAGATTGTATCATGAAAGTAAAATATCCACACAAACTTATAAAAAAGAGTCTAAAAGACAATTGTATACAAAACTGATGCTTCACAGCGCAGTTTGATTTTACACTGAATATAAACCCTTTTAACCAAATATTTCCAGTTATTTTATTATTTATACCTATTCTATTCAATTCGAAATATATTATTTAGAATATTTAAATTAATTTACTTTATTACAAAATTGTTTTAAAAAAAAATTGTTTCTTAGTTGTTATGGGTAAAATTTCATACGGTAGTCAACACTGGCCCACCATCGTAAAGTTATATCTTTGTCTTTGTCTAATCCGAGCGATGGTATTGTTCTTGTCTCGCGTGTAAATGAGACATAAATATGTTTACTTTCAAATGTTTAGTGGTATCAAAGCTACGTCGTCAAAGTTCAAAAGTGGTTACACTTTTTTCGACGTGTGATAATGAGGTTTGCTTCTCTAGTGTTGTTTTAACTCAATGTCTATACCTATGTACCTACCGCTAAGCGTTGAGCCCGTGACTGTTGATTTCTGTTAAAAACGAACAGTTGTTGAATGATATTTTGATATAATAACGGTAATTTAATTTATCGAGTGAAAGTGATACATTTTTATAGATAAAATTATTGGTCAGATAATATTTGTCAATCAAGAATCGCTGATAATACATCCTTCGCTAGAACGCGGGAGGGGAGGGGCGAAGGGATACTTCATTGTTTGCAATTTGCATCTAGTGCACTAAACTTGACCCTTAGGCAGATAATATACGTGTTGTAAAGTACGTGTGCGCTTCCGCTTTCTATTTTTGCAAATATTTATCGTATTCTTGAGAGTTCTTCAATATGTGTGTACCTAATTACTAATAATTGGCATTAATGCTAATTCGATTCAATTTAAGTAATTGTCAATTCTTGTCTTAGGATCTTAATTACTAATGCTAATATTGAAATTTCGTTCAGGGTGAACAAATTAAAAATGATCATAACTTGTAGGTAGGTATATCACTTATTACTAATTTTACATAAATAATTTATTTTATTATAATTTAACTCACCGCGATTTTGTGATCAAATATTTTATTTTCTCCAACATTATTACAGAAATAATGCAATACAGAGTTTGTTCGTTTGTTGTTGTTTGTTTAAAAAATCCCCATCTATTCACAAAATACCTATTTACAACGCATACGTTACACTCTTCAAAACTTAAATTACCTATAGGTACCTACCCTAAAATTAAACTTCAATTAACAAATACTATGCAGGTACCAATTCTATGAACAACTATAAACAATTCACCTAAACATTACGAGAAAACAAAAGCATTCAAAACAATACCTGATCTCCCGGCTGATTACTAATTATGCAATAAACAATCCTAAATAAAAAATATTTAAAAAACATGTAGTTTTTTGTAACACATGTACATATCCGTAGTAAACTTGCAAATAATATCCTACATATTTAAAAAGCCAGCACAATGTACTGGGTGATCGCTTTTTTGTAACCACCTAAACATAGTCGGGTTACCACGGTCTTGCACCTTCTAATGACTTTTATTTAATTATCTCGTAAATTATTATATGTACGACGCTGAAATTCTACAGGTAGACAACTGAACTAAACAACTAATTATTGGCATAACATTCAGTTTATATATCCACACACAGGTTTA